AATTTTGACTGCACGGTTGACGCGAAGGCTGGGCAACTGGCTGCCGTGCGACGTGTCTCTGGTTACCGGCACGAAACAACTCTTTGTGTTTAACCACCACAGATTATTGTTCCGGGTCTGGGTGTCATGTGTATGGGAAATTGTATGTTTGTAAAAGCACCCACGACACAAGACCAAATCCTAGTGTTGGGCATCGTTTTAAAAATTCTAAACAAAAAATTGATTATTTTATTAATTTCCTTTTATTGCCACATAATTGTAAGATACAACAATTATTACTTTGAATAGGCGAGCTACACATCACAAAATAAATATTATCAAAAACCATGTAACTTATCCACCAGCCCCTTGCGTTCATTTTTAAAGCAATTTAACGTTAATCGGTCAAGTTTCACAGTTTTATAGTCTGGTTTAGCGTGTCGAAGTAAACAGGGACTTGTAATTCAAGCATTTTGTCGTACGCCATTATGCTAATATTTCATAATATTTTTGATACGGTCGACCCTCTTTATTGAGCCATGAGTACGTATTTAGAACTGTTTTTTTTTTGTATTCTTTGGTTTATTATTGTTTTCTTACGTAGCTAAGGTTTATTTTTGCGTGTAGTGTGATAGGTAATTATTTTTTGTAGACTGCAAAATATTATCTATGGCCTATGTTATTCTGCTCTGAAATGAGCTGTTAAGTATATTGTTTTTATCTGTTCTAGAATTAATTGTATAATAGTATGTTTTATAAGTGTATTAGGAAGGCATTTGTTACGATTAGGTATTTTGCGAAAAAATCAGAGACGTATTTTGTCGTTAGTGCAAATCAAAGCAGCTATCACTTTCATGTGTCAAATTATAATAAAATAAAATAAACAACCGTTTAAGGTAATATCATAATAAACTAATATAAATTGTTATCATATAAAATTGTGTTTAAATTTCAAAATCCGGCCCTATAAATGCGAGCGCGCATTTTCATAGCGTGACACCTCGGTTTAGTGGTGTGCTGTATCGATTCATTTTATCGATAAAATTGTGCATAAGTTAATGAGTTTATTTTGATTGTGTTTTTATGTTTTATTAGTGATCAAAACTGATATAATCTCTATATTAATTGTAGCTTTTTATATTGGATATTCAAGTAGGTTTTATTTCTGTACTATGGATAGCAACAAAGTTTCACGGTGCGCTTAATGATAAGCTGTTACCGTATACTACCACTGCAATCAGGGAGATACAACTGTGTTGTGAAACATCTAGAAATTGGTCAGGAGTTCACTGTCGTCAAAACAATGGCGCATTTATCTGGGTGGAGCAATTAAATGGATATATCCATCTAAAATTATATGTCATTTAAGTAGAAATAACTTTTTATTTCTGGTTAAACTTTAAAGAATCGTCTTAAAATCTGATATCTGATGAATATCAGTTCATTGAATTAAATACCCTCCTCTTCCCCAATCTTCCCAACCCTGAATCCCCAACGATCCTCAAACTCCTAATCCCCAAAAGGCCGGTAAAGCACTTGTAACGCCTCTGGTGTTCCAGGTGTCAATGGGCGACGCCGATTGCTTACCTTCAGGTGATCCGTCTGCTCGTTTACCGGCTTATGCAATAAAAACAATTAATTTCCACCTTACAGTACAGTATACAGTGTAAAGAACACTATTGCTACAAACATCGACATTATACTTAAAAGCACATCACTAAACAATGTTGTTATGCAAAACAGTAGGTACAGCGGACAGTATCAGATCGGTGGCCGCATTAACCGTGGCGGTACTATTTAGCTCTAAATTCATTATAAATTACTAAATCCCTTTGATACGCGTTGCACTTTACTTTTGTATGTATTTTTCTTTTGTTTTGTTGCGAATGGCTTGTTGATTTAGTATTTGAAATGCGACTTAAAATAATCCATAATACAAAGAAGTTCGGAAACACAAACCCTACATTACATTATTTAAACCATGTTTATGAGAGCAAACTAAACCAAAGAAGCAAACCTAGAAGTTTTCTCTGGGACTGAAATAAAAACGTCTGGTTTATTTTAAGGGGGGAAAATCATCGAATGACTTTCCCGCCTGGGTGAGGCGGGAGGGAGTGTCAGACTCTTACTGACTAAAAACCACCCCGTTCCTACTTATGCACTTCCCTATCGTATTGAAGTATCGGCATCAGCCCTATTGGGCCACATCCGTGGTGGTCTAATGGCTCTTTGAAAACTTTTTTAGAAGTAAAACTAGGTTTAGAAGTCCTATTATGACCTCTATCTGTTATCTGATATTGACGTGTGTACTGTTTGAGAACCCTTAAGTATTAGGTGATAATTAATGGAATTCTAAAACATCGCGGGTTGAATTAATATTGAGAAAAGCTCTACTAGTTTCGAATAGGCTGCGCGACATCGTCGAGACCGCGCACGCTGCTCATGAGCCCCTCAGTGGCTCGAAACTAGTAGAGCTTTTCTCAGTATTTTACCATGAGTAATCAGCATTATTTTAGATAATTTAGTATATTTTACGATAGTCATTATAAAAAATAATGGAATCCTCATCTAGACAATTTTACTGTATTGACGTTTTCAAGTACTATTTTCTAACTTATTTGCAAAATAAATATTATTCGTTTCATTTGAGTTTCCTTCAAAGCTACTTAAAACTAATACCTGATCCGTACGCATATCTACGATTTTCCTTACCTTTCTATTACTAGGTCGCAATACGCAATATGGCCGATCCTTTGCGCTTTGCATAAGCTAATACATACCAGTAAGTAAATCAAAGATAACTAGCAATCTTTATGGTGTTTCATTGTACATATCTTAATTAAAGGAAATAGTTATCAATAAAATTGCTCCATAATTAATACTTCTGGTTCTAAAGAAGTTTTATTAGGCCACCCTGTGGAGTCTATAACCTTTACACGTAATCTATCATTTCAACACTCCGTTTAAGTGACTTGTCAATGAGAACGAGATTACCTGTGTGCGTGTATGTGTGTGTAAACTATGGTCTTAAGGTATCGTTACGATCATGAGCTTAAAATGTTAAAATAAGATGATTTTATAAAAAAAAAACGTTGAATAGTACCTAAATCCTTTTTTTAAGTTGCTCCATACTAGGATTTTCGCAATGTGTCGTTTACAAGCATAGACAGTTCACACACACAATGACATCCAGAGCGGAATCAACAATATGTGGATCACATAATATACCTAATATCAGTTTTGTTACCTTCACTTTCAAATCTGAAACTAAAACATGATGGGCGCTTTTTTGACTCAAAGGACCAGTAGGACAGTATCTAAAAATCTAGGCTTATTTTGCCATTGCAGATGGCAAAATTTCAGATTTGCAAAAATACTAAAATCTAAAAAAAAAATGATAAAGATACGTAATCAAGTACTTAGATTTTTTGAGTTTGTTTGTCCAGTGCATATATTTCAGTTCTCTGTTCATCAAACGCACAATATTGTACCTTGTAGTTACATTTTGGGTACATGATAAATTGATATTCGCGTGCGTCCGCCCCGAGTCCGCCGTCTTATTGTAAGTAATTCTTTTTGAATGTTCACGGTGATCGTTTATATTGATAGTATCGATTTTTCGCGTAACACGCACCCACTCACTTAATTCTTGATTTAGTACCGCATCACATTCTGATAAGTATTTTTAATTTGAATAAATTATGATTTAAGGGCGTTATCGTAGGCAATGGGCGGTTGTAATCATAACCGTGGCGTGGTTTAGTGACGTCACGCTGTACCGAACCCGTGTTCTTAATGTTTTGTTTTCAGTGACGATGACTTTGCTGTTTTTTTGGGTTTTGTTTTTATGTTTTGTAGGTTATTGGTGCAATATTATTTTTTCATTATATAGTTGTTTTAATAATATTATGTGGGCTAATTGATAACCTTTATGATTAAGCCTTTTCGAGGAAAAACATTTGGTCATAGTGGAATATTTCAATAAAAAAAATTTTGCAATAATGACGCCTGTATAGTTAAATTTAGTCTAAAATCAGACCCTTTTTCCCCAGACCAGACTTTTCATTTAAATAACTTCCTGAAGTTAGCAAATTGTCTTTATTTAGGTATTCAACTTTAGTTCTTCGTTCAAAAATCTTAAGATCTCATATTCTGTGTCAAAAGTTATTGCCCCTTCCGTGGTCTAAGGCACGTCCAATAGTCACGTCATTATTCTAGTACGGTTATCGCGAGAACGCCGATAAAGATGTCACACCGGCTTATAATTTCAAGTCGCGGGCGATTAAATAGCGAGATAACTACGATTAGGGGCCAAAAGTAATAATACTGTTTTGTACGTATAAATTTTGAGCGACGTTCTTTTTTTAAGCAATAAAATCGTGATTTTTTAATATATATTTTCTTGTTGTTTTATTTTTTTTTACGACTGTTGCGTTACTTGTTTCAAATGTTCTCTGATTGTAGATTTTTATGTTTGAATGGAATTTAATCGTAAAAGGGATAACGTATAAACGGTACAAGGTTACTACGGTACGTTGTGTGACCGCGGAAAATATTCATAAAATATTTTTATATTAATGCTCATAAAAATTTATTCATTAAAATTAATTACTTTTTTAGTGGAACCGACCATGAAATTGTAGGGAACAAACTTTCTTGAAGACTCTTTCTTTAGCGTCATAAGCTCGGCTATTGCGGTTCAACTATTTAAATCGATACCTATCATTTGAAAAATGTCATCCTCTATTGAATGAATACTGGCCGTTTCATTACTGGGACACGATGGACACAGACCACTAAAGCCAACACCTAATTATAAACAAAAAAATCAAGTTCTAAATTAAAAAAAAGCAGAAAATGCAAAAGCAAACGGAATTCGAGAGCCCCACGCGACATTCAACCGTGAGGTCTCGACAGCTGACACATTCTGTCAATTTTTTCATTGTTTCTTATACTACAAAACTAATTAATTACCTATATCATGATGTACATACATTAATCGCTTTGTGTTTTTCTTCCAGAATACTCCCGTGCCAGAATGCCACACACAGGTAAAATAATTGCGTTTTCTTTTGTTAATGTCTATATTTGGTGTGGAGCCAGACCTTCCTCTTGTCAAACATTTTGTAAAATGTCATCAAAGTCTTGTTATAATTAGTAGTTGTTTGTTTAACACCCAGTTTAGAGCTTTTTTTAGTAAGATAGGAGTTATAACCGTTAATTCAATTTCAGTTGGCTATCAGCCCTTTTCACGCGTATTAACAACTAACGTTTTCGGATCGAAAGACCAGTATTTGGTCCTTTAGTGCAAATCAAATATAATTTTGGTCCTTAAGGGGCACTTGTTCTCTTAGTAGATAAAAATATAGTCTTCAGATCAAAGTATTATTTATTTATTTTATTTGAATTTGAACTCCATCCATTTTGACATTAAGTCTAGATCCAAGTTTCACCATACAAATAACCTCATTATTATCAATATCCTGTGTCAGTCCACTGTCGGACTATGAATGGGTCTCCTCTACCTACATAACAAAAAAAAACATGCAGCCGAATTGAGTACATCCTCTTTTTTTCGAAGTCCTTCACCATAACAGCTTAACACGTCACAGAACTCACACGTAGCAAATCCTCGAATTCGCCCAACTCAATCTTGTAAGTTATCACTGAAACCCAAGTACCGAAAGCTAAGTAGATACATATATCAATGTTAAGATCGAGTAACTGGTAGCTAATGACGGTACAGATACAAAAATGCTCAGATCTTAATTAACTTTAACATTTAACATTAAAGAAACCGAAAAGAAGCTTGTCTTATCGGTTGAGTAGGAATTTACCTCACGCATCGAAATCATAAGCGTTTCAAAGAACTCCTTTTTTCGTAGGTGTTGTATGATTTTGGGATTGTGTGGATATGTCCTGTTTTGATTGTAGCTAGAGAAGGATATGCGAGGATGCTAGATGAAGCGTGTTATAGGATGACATTGTAGAAATGGTAAAAATAATGATTTATTTATGGTTCTATGATTATTTATGTATTTATAGTGACATTTCTTCATTTCATAACTCTTTTAAATATCTTAAAAATAAAACAGTAAACGAAAATAAATAATAATAATATCAAGATATGAAATAACGACTGCTTGGTTGGTGCGGTGGCTGGGCAACCGACTACCACGCAACGTGTAGCGGGTTCGATTCCCGCACGGATTAATTCTTTGTGTGATCCACAAATTGTTGTACCAGGTCTGGGTGTGATGTGTATGTGAACTTGTATATTTGTAACCGCACCCACGACACTGGAGAATATTTTAGGGTTAAAAGTAAATATTTTGAAAACGTTACCTTAAACTACAAATCACGAACATCATCCCAAACCTACTTAACATCAAACATACCGATTGATATTCCACAAAAGTCCCGCTTCAACACAAAACATATGAACCCTGGTACCTTACTACCGTCCACAACCATTAACGGTAATTAAGCCAATCGAGTCCAAATCTCGTATCGAGATAAAATCGGATGCGTATCGAGACGGCCCACCCGCATCAACACTCACTCGATTCTAATACATTATACATGGACCAGCCACATTAGTTTCTTATTAAACATCTGCTCACACCGAGTTGACCGCTCAGATTGTCACACAAAAATCTATGAGACATTCTCAACCCTATTTTAAAGCGAATAAGAACTGTAAAAAGTTGTAGACTTGATTGTTATTAGCAATAAAATATCATTTTCATGATACATATCTCATGAAGAGCAATAATTTCTTTTTAAAGTGATGATATCAGGGCATATTTAGAGATATTCTCTCGATTTTTTTGGAACACACACGATGTTTCCGGATTTTTTTTCTCTCATTTGAATATAAAATCTTAAGCAAGAAGAATAAATTGTTGGACGTCTAATTAAGCTTGCTATATTGTTCGTTAGTTATTGAAGTTGTGTCGAAAACATGGAGATTTGACGGAAATACGTTTTAAATTGTAACGGTCTGATCGCGGGCGAGTTTATTCGTGATAATTTCGTGTTAATTACCCACAGTCGGTGTTACAGTTAGGAAAACAGAAATTTGTCGTCATTTTTATTTCTTTTGGGGAAATATTATTGTAATGAATTGACTTAAATGTAACTGTTCTGTTTTATTGTTGTTGTTGCTGCTATTAAACTCGACTGATGAGAATAATGTAGTATGGGATTGAATGCTGTTTTTATAAGGTGATTTTTTTTATGGCATAAGCCGGTAAACGAGCAGACGGATCACCTGATGGTAAGCAATCGGCGTCGCCCATTGACAACTGCAGCACCAGAGGCGTTACAGCAAGCGTTACCGGCCTTTTGGGGATTAGGAGTTTGAGGATCGTTGGGGATTCAGGAATTGGGGAGAACGTCGGTTTTCTGTGAGGCTGTGGTATCACTCCGGTCGAGCTGGCCCATTCGTGCCGAAGCATGGCTCTTCCACACTTAAATAATTTATATTTTTAATATCCAGTTTTATGAATTTCTTTATAAACAATAGACATCGTTCGTGGACTTATTGTGTAACAATAAACATACTTCATAGTATGAATGAACACATGCGCAGTAACTACAAGTACAAATCAAACCTAACCAAAGGAAACAAAGCAGAAAATCTAAAGCTGCCGCCACACTATCGGCTCACACATCATAATAAAACTGATTATAATATCTAAATCGAACATTAGACAACACCTACACTTATCACGTGATATGATCGGTCGAGAGCTTTGTAAACGGTATTTAAACGCGACAACTCAAGCGTCGGTTTGACGCCAAATTAACTTATTGAGCGGGTACGGGCGGGCGACGGGATACGACGGTCGATCATCTGTTAGTTATAGTGTGGATGTGCCTTATAATTTTTTGGTTCATTTGCGTTTAAGGATTCACTCTTGGTTAAGTGTTCTATAGTGTATATTAGTATATTATTTTTTGTTCCATATGGTTGTAAAATTATATAATTATCAGAGCCAACCTTATCAATTTTATATATGTTTTTGAATCGTAGATAATAGAATTATTGTGCGTTTAATCGGACTCCATAAAACGCAATATCAATCATATAATTATGACTATGACTATACATGAGAATATGAAATATTACACTAAGCCACTTAAAAACTACTCAAAAAAGTGGAGCTTAGTTTCATAAGCCAAGATTACACTTGGGGGCATGTTTTCCTTCACCTTTCAGAAAGTACATATAACTCGGAAAAAGTCACATTGATAGGTACTTGTGCTATTGGTAGGTTTCGAGCCTGCACCCTCATGTATGGAGAAGCGGGCGTCTTAAACCTCCGGGCTACCACGATACTTGCCAGCTCCTTGCTATATTAACGGACAAAGTATAAAACATAAGATTTACTGTTAAAACTATTCACGCAGAAGATATTATGCAAAGGTTTCATTACTCAGTACTTTAAAGTTTAACAACAAATTGACTAATATGTTGTGAACCTCTCAGATCGTATAGGTAGCACCGAACGACTGGCGAAACTCGTAGGAGGTTCATATACAATGAAGCACTGTTATTTATAGATATAGTTTCGTTATTAACTTATAATAATTACAAAAATGGACAAAATGGCTGTCACCCGGTATTACGACCAGTAGGGTCATGCGGCACAAAATGGAACTAATTATTGCGTTCCAATTCCTACAAAACTAAATGTTATTACCTAAATAATTTCCATATAAAATTATTTACATATAAATTATATATTATTTCGGTGACTTCAATCATTGTGTGACTTATTAATAATTATTCTTTTATTAAAGGCTTCCTGCACTAATATAATTTTGATGCAACTTGTCTATCAATCATCATTTCGAGGTCTTGGAAGTTTTCCGTCTATCAATATTCAATGCATATAATAAATATTTATTTTTTATATCTCAAAGTTCAATGTTTATTTTCCTTATTTTGTTGCATAATGTTCAACAACATATATTTCTATATGGTTTTCAGTATTTAAGGAAATAATAATTGACGGACAATAGGCTAGTTTCCTAAATTTTATTTTAATGTCCGTCTGGTAGATTATTTAAAATATTAGACACGTATTTTTACTTTTCTCACAAAATTTAATGCTTTCAACGATATATTGATTTGAAATGTCGTGTGACGTCACAGAGTGCTACAAAATGTTTGTGACGTAACTACCTCCCACTCCTAAACTTAACTCCATTTTATCTAAGTATTTTAACTTTATATGAGAAAATAAAAAATACGTGTCTAATATTTTTTCATTATATAACTGACGGACTAATTAGATTTTTAATTTTCTTACCCTGGAAACTACCCAATTTGAAGTATTCTTCAAACGAAATATATACCAGTTTGAACAGTAAGTTTCATCAGACATTGTGATACCATTCCTTAATATAATATGTCCATCATCTGACAACGTACCATACGTGTCATAAAACGTTCACTACTGAACAACATGCGGGAACCAAGACAGTTACTCATATCTCTGGGATGCGCCGGACTTCAGTGTTCCGGTGTTTTCACGGTTGTATCTAATGTCCTGGCTTACAGGAGTTGCAGCGGTTTTGGAAGGTTGTGGCAGGCTTGTCCTTTTAAATAATACTGAACAACATAGACCCCTCCATATTATGATATCTTACATTTTACATAGACCAATAAAAGTAAATCAATTACAAAACGTAATTTATTTTCATTTAATTCCCCATGGCGCCATTCCACAAACCACATCCACACTAAGTCGAACAACATTGTCGATAATAACCCGGTCTATCAAATGAATCTAAACATCAGATTCGATTTTCTAGTTCGATGTTTACAACTATGTTACAATTTTATATCGTAAACTTTATTTCCTTTTATTATTGTTCATTAATTACTGAAGAAACTTGTATTTCAATGCTCATAAAGATATTTATCGACTTATTAACGGTTCCTATACTTTGTGTGCGCACAATATCTTTGAGAATCCGTAATTAGAAGCAAATTGCTGCTGAATATAGATTGGATACAGGTGTACAATTTGCTTATATA